CACTCTCTCAGCCTCAGGGGAAGGCAATACCACCCCCCCTTTGAAAAAACCTGCCAAGAAAGCCCTGTAATAGGTTTCCTTTAAGGTTGCCATAAGTTGGAAATGACTTGAAAGCACACAACAATAAGGGTTCACTTTAGGGTCTCCGTAAGTCGGAAACAACTTGAAGGCACACAACAACAACAACAGCAACGGCAGTTTTTCTTTGCCAAAGCTCTGTGGTGCATCATCCGTGTTGCATGCCCAAAGGGCCAGGTTTAATCCCTGACATTTCCAGCTAAAACAGGATGAGATAGTATGTGAGGGAAACCTGAAAGTGTCCCTAGGTTCAAGACAACTGACTTGTTACTGTTGTCATTATCATAGATTATTATAGTTATTGCCACCCCCCACTTCCCCCCCTGAACAATCACAGAATACATATCCTGGAGTAGCCGTGTTGACCATATAGATAAGTAAAGTATCATCCAAAATCCATAAAATAGTGATACCTTTTTGGGCCAACCAAAATCCACAATATACATATTGCAAGCTTTTGAAGGCAATGTTTGGAAGGCAAAAAATCCTTTCTTTCTTTCTCCTGTATCATTTTTAACACCTCTGCCTGATGAAGAAGCCGGTGGAGCTTCAAATCATAGAACAGCTGGGGAAGAAAACTATCCTTCTACAACCCTTTTGCTGCCCAGATTTAGAGCCGGCCCTGCCATTAGGCAGAGTGAAGACAGATGCCTTAAATGGCAAATATTGGAAAGCCATGACACTCACTCCAGACATTTCCCTTCTCTGGGAGGACAGGGCAGTGTGTGGCACACAGCTTTGCTTGCACCCCCTAAACTAGCCAGCTGCCCTTGGAGAGATGGAAAACATTGCCTCTTTGACACTGGCCAAAGGAGAACCTATTGCCAGTCCAGTCAGCTTTTGTACATAAAATGGAGAGGGTGCAATCTTATCCTTCTCTGTAGGAAGCAATGTATCTTGGAGTTGGCCCTACCACTAGGCAGTCAGGCAGCAGCTTTGTGGTCTCATAAAAAAGCAGCTAATATTGTTATATATCCAGTGGTAGCCATATTGCTGAGAACCATTGTGGTGTAGTGTGATTTGAGTGTTGGATTAGGACACTAGGAGACCAGGGTTCAAATCCCGCTTCGGCAGTGTAAACTAACTGGGTGACCTTGGGCAAGTCACACTCTCTCAGCCTCAGAGGATGGCAATAGGAAACCCCCTCTGAAGAAAATTGCCAGGAAAACCCCATGATAGGTTTGCCTTAGGGTAGTCTTAAATTGCAAACGATTTGAAGGCACACAGCCTCAGAAGAAAGGCAAGGCAAACCTTCTCTGAACAAATCTTGCCAAGAAACTCTGTGATAGAGTTCCCATAAGCTGGAAATGACTTGAAGGGTGTAGTCACATGGCAAAATTAAAGCAGTTTGACACCACTTTAACTCTGTCCTACAGAGTCATTGGATTTGTAGTTTAGGGAGGCACCAGTGCTCTCTGACAGACCAGGCTGAATGCCTCCCCAAACTACAAATCCCAGGATTCTCTAGGATAGTTATGGCAGTTAAAATGGTGTCAAAGCACTTTAATTCTGCCATGTGGCTAAGCCTTTGGAAGTCACACGACAATAATGACAAAAACAGCATCAAACTTAATCCATGCTAAATGAATCTAAAGTGCTATAGGCTATATTTTAGAGGAGTGAACTGGCAAACCAACTCTGAGTATTCCTTGCTTCCAAAAAAGAAAACAAAAAACCCTATGAAATTTTTTGTGTCGCCATAAATTGAGAGGTGACTTGAAGACACACAGACACACACATACATGTGTACTTGAGTAGGTATCCTAAAGCAGAATCGTTCCCCTGACTAAGGCTGCATCCAGACTGCAGAAATAATGCAATTTGACACCACTTTAACTGCCATGGCTCAGTGCTGTGGAATTCTGGGAACTGTAGTTTGTGGTGGCACCAAAGTGGTGTCAAACTGGATTAGTTCAGCAGTGCGGAAACGTATAGATAAGCAGGTCCGCCTCCAGAAAGAGAGGCTCCAGAAAGCTGCTTACACTTTAATAATAATAATAAAGCTGAAGGAAATAAAGTCTTTTTTTCAGTGTGTAATTCTGATTTCTTAAAATCCTCTTTTCATTTATTTTTTAAAGGACATTTGTTTTCCTTCCACAGTTACATACCATCCCAGAGCTAATGTTTTGGGCCCAATTTGCTATTTATTATTCAGGCTGTGAGTGAGGGTTACAAGCGACGGATTGTACATGTTGTTGTTGTATGCCTTCAAGTCCTTTCCCCACCTAATAAGAAGTTCATTAGTCTTCTTGTAACCCTGAAAACAGATTAATTCTTGTTCCCTCAGCAACAATGTGGGCCAAAGCCAGCAGAGGGAGCTTTGCCCAGAAGAGACAATACTGTACTGCTATAAATGTAGATTCAAACAAGATCCCAGATCTTGTCCAAGGGAATACAAGCATGTGCAGACAAATGTAGTCCAAGGGATGAAGCCATACAGTTTAATAAACAGTAAAAAATGAAATAAGACTGGAAGTGGCCACACTCTGGTTCTGGGAGGGGAAAAATATTTTTCTTCCTTCCCCTTTTTTAATTTTTTTAAATTAAACGTTGCACACATTTATCTGTTATCTTAAGTCATATGAATCATAGATGCAAAAATGTTGTTATATGTATGTAACAATTCTTAGGAGAAGCTAAGTATAAAGATACATACACACACACTCTATATATATATATATATATATATATATATATATATA